GGCCCCGCCGAGCAGGTTGTTGGCCGCGTCGGACCAGGCGGCGTGCGTGGCCCCGTCCATCTCGGGGGCCAGGCTGTTGCTGCTGTCCAGGGTGTGGTTCGTTCCCCCGATGGCCGCGGAGCACTCGGGACATCTGCTCCTCTCCATGGCGCCCCCGCACTCCCCGATCACGTAGATGTGCCCGTTTTTGCACTTGAACCAGTGACCGCGAGGGCAGCCAATGGCGCTGACGATCTGCACCCGCTCTGCCTCAGAGATGCCCAGCCCTGAGGCAGGCAGGGCACTGCAGAGCTCCTCCAGTTTAGCCTTCACCACAGCCTCATCCTCATCTGTGAACTTCTTTGTTCCCTCCAGGATGACACGGACACTGGCAATCTCCTTGGCAAGAGCGGGGGTTATCCGCCCGCTCGCACTATTGCATCTTGCTAGGAGGCTCACCAAGTAGGTCAGTCTCTGGATCTCAACCTGTAGGTCTGAGAGCTCCTGCCCTGTAAAACTGATGCGCTCCCTATCCAGCCACTCCTGGACTTCATCCAGCCGCTTCCTCAGCCCATTTCTCTCCTTTACCTCAATTTTGTTCATAGAATTGGTCAGATCAGCTAGACGGCTGTAGAAGTTAAGCTGGTTCTCAATTAGTCCAATGCTCTTTGTGGATAGACCAGAGGCTCTCAGTTTATCTTCCAACATAAGGTACTTAAGGGGCAGATTCCTCCGCAGAACAGTATTCCCTGCTAGCGCAGCCTGTAGGCTTTGTCTGCTAGATTCAATTTCTTGTATTGGGCCTTGTATTTTCTCTTTCACTCTCTCAATCTCATTCAGCCGCCTTTGTACAATGGTGCCATATCTCAGATTCTTCCTAATGGGTGTCTGACAGACAGGGCACACTTTCAGCTTGATGACATCATCATCTTCCTCCATATAGTGATCAAGGCCATAGGACTCAAAGACATGGCCACAGTCTTCAAGCTGTACAAATCGAGCATCTGGATCCTCCTCAAAGCCAAAAAAGATCTGGGTGACTTCTTTGTGGTCACAGACAAGGCACTTCTTAGGGCAGGGCTCTCCACACAAGCCAATACAAGGATGTCCGCAGGGCAGAAGTTTTGTACATGGAACATTGCAACGAGGCCTGTTGCATGGTTCAGAGCAAAGATTGGTACACTGGTAATGCTGACATCGCCATTCACATGGCTCTGCACATGGAAAGCAGCTCTCTCCACATTTCTTTTTACATCTGCTGTGAATGCAATGGTTCTGACAGTCCAGCTGACATGGAGGGCATTCTGTAGTACACGGCTGCTGACACCTGTGGGAACAGACTAAGAAGCGTTTGCATGGGCTCTTACAGGGCTTATGAAATCTTCCTTCGAAGCAGGTATGACAGGAACCTTGGCACACATGACCACACTGCAGTGTGACAGAACACTTAGATTTGCACTCCACAGGCATCCCATGTTTCATCTCCTCACTGATCCAGCACTTCACTTGCTGGATATGGCCACATTTCAATGTAACTGTAACCAGCTCAGGACACCTTGTGGTGCATTCCTGTCCACAGCATTTAGTGCATGTGTGTCCACAATTCAGCTTTTTCTGACAAGCTTCTTGGCAAAAAAACTCAGTGTCTGGAGTAGAGCATGGCACCATCTGTGAGTGGCCACACTTTGAAATAATTTTCTCCACTTTCACCATGCATTGTCCACACGGCTCATAGCACAACTGTGGACAGCGATGCCCATCTCTACAAAGCACCTTCTGACAAGGCTTCAGGCACTGATACTCTTTGTGCTCTGTGTCATATGGGTGACATGCCCTTGTGCAAACATGTCCACAACTCAATCTAAATTCACAGGGACGACTGCAGCCTCCTTCTGGGACTCTGCTGAAGTCTGCTGCTGTAGATACCAGTGTCTTGGTTTCAGGGTGGTTTTGGCAGCAAAGCATCAATGAGGGACCTATGCGGCCCTTCTCCCGGAGAGTGTGAATGATCTTGCTCCAGAGAGGAACCTTACCAAGCATTCTCATGTTTCCAATGCAATACAGCCCTTTCTTAGCTCTGGATAATGCTACACATATCCGATTAGAGATCTGCAAGAACCCAGATCTCTCTTCTTTGTTGCTCCGCACAAGTGACAGCAGGATAATATCATTCTCTTCTCCCTGGTATTTATCCACGACATGAACCTTCACCCCTTCAAAGGTCTTGGCTGGCATGAGCTTGCGCAGACAGAAAAGCTGCCCAGTATAGGTGGTGAGAATGGTGATTTGAGAAGGCAGATAATCCTGACACAGGAAATATTTGCACAACTCCACTACAAACTGGGCCTCATGTGGGTTCTGGTGGCTTTTCCCTTCCTGGATCTCTTGCTCAGGAAAGTCATGCTCCACAAAGAAGAGGTTAGACAGGACCCCCTGAAACAAAAGAGAAGAATCAGAAGCAGAATTCCATCTCCTGTCTTTATGACCTCTTCCCATGTCCCTATATCCCTTACTAAGAAGATTCTTTAGGAGAGGACTGCAATATGTGGTTACTGCATACTTGAATACTTAAATGTGTTTTACATATCCGTACTATATTCAGAGGAGACTCAGAGCTCATCAGTGACATTTCCATGCTTTGGCTCCATGGGTTTAGTGCGTTGGCTGTTCTTTTTTTTTCAAAACTCCCAGTTGCCTTGGGTTAATGGGGACCTTCACCCCTCCGCCCCATTACCTAGAATTCTATCCCCTAAAAATTCTTGGGCTGTTACACCAAAACCAAGACTGCTTTTTTTTCCCCCCAAGAAATAATGCTTTTAATGTATCACATGCAGATCTCTGTTTTTCCAACAAGCTGGCCATAATTGCAATAACTGATTTATATTTAATTCAATTGTCACCTCTATTGGTTACTGTACTAGATAGAATAACTTTTTTTTTTTTTTTTTTAATATCTCAAGTTTGTTTCAAGGACAGATGGGACCACAACATTCTCCAGAATAGCTTATCTCATAGGAGATCACAAACATTTTAGCTATTTAGGTCAGGAGAAATAGGGTCCTTTAACTAAAGCAGCTTCTACAAAATACTTCAGATTTTGAAGATATCAAGAGGACACCTGCAACTTTCCTAGATAGCTTAGTTCTAATAAATAATCACTAGAAATAAATAATCCTCACTATAAATCTTCTCCTGCCTGGCTTCAGCATTCCTAATGCTGAAGTGAATGTATTTTTAGGTAAAACATGCTCATCCAGTTATAGAGCTTCCAAGTAATGAGTACTGTCTTTTCGTGAACAGAGTGTTAAGTAGACTAAGCTACTGTAATATTTCCTCTGTAACCTCCTCTTATTCTTTGTCCCAATGCACAGAGTTGTTTTATTTCAAAGGATCCAAGACACAGCATTGCTGTGTAATCCTGGCTGTAAATTCTGAGGAAAATATTAGTTGTGACGGAGATTTGTGACTGCACAAGTCTGCAGAAAAGGACTGTGAAAGATAAGATAGATAAAATTACAGGGGTACAGTTGTTACAAGTTCAAAGATAAAAGATGACATGAAAAGGATTAACCATAACTGGGGTAGAGCAAGAAAATAAATATCAGAAAAGTGGGAGTTAGTGGAAGACAATCTCAGCCAAACTTGCAAAAGCACTTCAGGCATCTTATGGTAAGGCAAGCATACCAGCTTAATAAATCATTAAATCCTAAATGTTGGTTACAGACATTAGGCAATGATGATTAATTTATATTTTTAAGCTGCATAGATCCTGTTTGCAGATTTTGTGTACAGGTAAAGGTGTTAAAAACAAAGAACCTATCTTACAAGGGAGTTTCAAATTACACTTATATCAGTTTCATTAGCTGAATTTGATGTAAAAGTTAAAAATCCTAAATGTTGTTCTACACAAACTTATTTTAGCTAGTAGTGGAAAGCAAAAAAAAAAAAAAAAAAAAAGCACTTAGCACTTGGGCTGCTGAAAACTTACTTTTATGTTTTCATATTTCAGGACAGATGGATGGTTCTCCAGGTCTTGGTATATATGAGGACTGAGAAGCTGGGCAATTTCAGGACGCATGCGGTGCTGAAACACAAAGCGGCTGTGTATCAGTCTTGAGGAAGAAGCATCACATTTCCCTGCCAAGTATCTGTTGTTTCACTGTAAATATAGTGGCCAAATACAAAAAAGGGGTGACTGCAGTAAGAATCAAGACGGTAACCCTCCCTCCAAAAGCAATTAGTAGGTATGGTTACCAAAGTACCTTCATGAAAATCATTTGGCAAGGCTGTTGCAATAAGCATGCTGATATCTGTGCAAATCTGAAGACAACAGGGTTCCAGATTAAAAAAAAAAGAAAAAAAAAGTCCAGCACCTGACCCTAGCCACTACATAATCTCTTCTAGATAATTTTAATACAGGACTGCTGGAGAAGAATCAACTTCACCAGACTGAACAAAACAAAAACAAACAAACAAACCAGTTATAACACTTTAACAGGAGATACTCTGAGAAGATTTGCACTGCCATTCTTTTATATGCAAAACAAGCCATGTTCATAGCCCTGATATGTCTGCAGCTAGTGCCTGAGAGGGAAGTACAATTATCATACACGGCATGGGGAACAGGACAGTAATCTGTAAGTTTTGAGCACAGTCAGTTCAAACTACAGTGTTGAAGGCCACATCAGTGCATAGCCACTCAGCTAAAGTGCCCAGAAGAGCAGCATACTGTTTTGGCAGTTTGACAGCTCTTACCATTCTTCTCAGGATTAAATGGCATACCCTTTTCTTTTAGGCTGCTCTGTGAGCCGAAATAGGAATTTAGATGTACTGTAAGTTTAAACTAAAAAATGCAAATGCAATAACATGACGTTTGAGAGCTGCTCCTCACTTGGTATCTCAGGCGGACAAAGGGGAAATTGACTTTCACCAGTCGTTCAAAGAGAGAGACTTCCAGATTGAAATTCTTGGCCAGGTCATACACATTGGCACTAGGCTGCAGCTGAAAGAGAAGGGACATTTTAGGAGTCCATTTTTGAATGAAAAGTCCATTTTTAACACTTCTCCTAGGCAATAGTATGCTTTTTCACTCATTACCTTTTTCTGCCACTCTGATCCCCAGCAGAAAGACAGAGATTGAATATTTTGGAAAAGTTCTAAGTGTCAAGGTTAGGCACAGGCATAGCTAAACTGGATTCAAGTGCAAGTCACTTGTGACAGCCAAGTTACAAGACAATTCTCATGGGAGTTTTACTCCAGAACCTCAGAAAACAGGGCCAAAGACATCTGGGAAGCTGCAAGTTTCAGCAACCTTTTGCATTTGGTGTTTCACAATAAGGTATAGATGTTACCTGCTGGTGATCACCAATTAGGATGAGGTGTTGACAAGCTCTACTCAGAGTAGTAATGGTGTGAGCCTCCAGCACCTCTGCTGCTTCTTCTACAATTACAATTCGTGGCTCCACTTTCTGCAAGATCTGACGGTATTTGGCAGCACCTGAGCAAGGAGAAAAGATAGGCGTTAGCAGAACGTAGTTAATGAGAGAGTTTTCAGGCTGGACACATGTCTAAAGAGTCTCAGGGTCTTCCCAAGATTTCACAAGCCAAGTCTCATCCTTTAGGCTTCTATATGGAAAAGTATTAATAAAGGTATGTGGGACTGACATCCTATCCTTGGCCTTTTCCTGAACTTCTCTTCAAACAGAGGACACACGTTCAAAACGTGGATCAACATACTTAAATGAACACAAAACCACTCTCCAAAATTGTCTCTCAAATTATAAGACTTGTATAACCAGAATTCACCAAAAGATGATGTGGAGATAAACACAGTTGATAACAGCACTAACCCAGACATGAGCAGTGGTTCAAGAGCAGAAACTGCTTTTGCAGCTAACAGACACTGTGACAGTGACATTTGCGAAGAGAGGCAGAGACTAAGAAAGTTTCAGATTCATATGGAATCTGGTTGTCAATCAGCACTGGACACATGCTAATCCTTTGGCAACAAGCTCCTTTTTATCATGACTGGACACAGTGGGATGTGGGTTTGCTCCTTAAATGCCACATACCAGTAGTTGTCATCCCCACAACATGAGCTTCTCTGAGAATGCAGAGATCTTCCTGCAGCCTCAGTTCTGCCAGCCTCTCGGCTGCTGCCTGGTACTGCTGTTCATATTGCAGAATCCTCCGTCGAATAAAGCTCTGATATGTCTGCAGCCAGTGCCTGGAGTAAGGAGAAAGTACCATTATCATACACAACATGGGGAAGAGGACAGTGATCCCTAAGTTTTGAGCAGAGTCAGTTCAAAACTTCTTGTGTCTTCTAGGCAAGAAAGAAATACCACCTATATTCAGTCCCCAATTCACAGGGCAGTGATAACAGCACTGTCCTGCCAGTATTGGCCAAGTGAGAACAAATATCTTACAGGAAGGAGCACGTTCAGATAATGAACTCAACATGTATGGACAGAAGCAACTCATTGACGCGAGGACACATTTGCCTTACGGACTCTGTAAAAGCGTTCTGTCACCTGTAAAGCCTCCAGCGAGTATTCAGGTCAAGTTGCCACACATTCTGAATAGTCTTGGCCTCCAGCTCTGTCACTGCACTCAGTTTACGGAGCTCAACCTTCATCTTCTGTTTCATTTTTTTCTTCTGAGCAGCAGTCATCTGCAGAAACAACCCCCCACCCCACCCAAACAAGCAGTTATAGCAAAGTTTCTTCTGCATTAGCATCCTCACATTGCTGCTTACAAACTCAAGTACACCAGAATATGCTAGTATAAGAAGTTACCTCCCACTGCATAGCCTTCTGCTGTGGTTGGGCTGTTCCTTCTTCCTGGTTCTCCAGCTTCATAGCCAGCAGCACACTGGCCAGTTCATGAACAACCCTTTGCTCTTCCTCCTTCCTCCTCTGAGGCTTTGCTACCTCTTCATCCTCAATCACTCTGTCAGCTTGAATCAGGTCAGCCTCCTCTTGGATTTCCAAGAGCTCCTCTTCTGCTT